AAGACTTTGTCATTAATGATCATTGCAGTTCTGTGAAGTGTGCATTGATTTTATCACCTCCATTTCAGTGATGGAGAAAAATGATGTACCATGAGGGAATGAACTCGTCCAACTTCACACCAATTGTAAGTAAATGATAGATGAAATCTGAGTATAAGAATTTTACTCTAGAATTGTAATAACAGCAAACATGGTCTGAAGAAATAAAAAGATGTCACAAAGGTAACTTAGAACACTTTTGGGATGTTCAGGGACGTGGCATTCTGAAGGCTCTTGAAAAGAGTGATCCTCTAAATTAAGAGACTGTTTTTATTTTCTGGGTTTCAGCCACAGGATTCACAGTAGAATGTACCTGAGGGTTGGATTAAAGTGACCTATGAGAGTCCCTATGGACTAATTGAGGGGTCTAATTTCTAGTTCTGTAACTTCTTTGAATAACTGTGAGCAAATCCTCTGCATCTCTCAATGCATACAAGGATTTGGACACATCACAAAAGCTTTCAGTTCTGATATTCCAAGGTTCTGTGGGGGATTTAAAAGGAAGCTAACCTAAGCCAGAACTTTTATTTTTTAGTTGCCAGTGACAGAATCATAAGTCAAAGTGGCCTAAACTAAGAAGGCTGTTGAATAGCTCAGGAAAAGAAAGGTCTGAGAATTCTGCTTTCGACTGGGCTGCATCCAGATGCTCATATAACAGTGTTAGGTTTCCTTCTCCCCAACTGTCTCCACGTGTCAGCAGGAGACTCACATTCTACCAACCAAGTGAGCCCAATGAGGCAAATGAATTCCCTCTCCTGAAAGCAGCCAAACCCCAGGGACAACCTGGTCAGACTCAAGTTTGGTGGCATATTCATCCCTGAGCTCTTCCTCACGGTCTAGGACGTGGATTAAGCGATGGGCCAGGCCCAGCACATCTGTTCACCTCTTTGACTACATGGGAAAAGTCTGCCTTAGAAAAAATACAGGGGATACGTTTTCTACAGAACAGATTTCTTTACAACAAGAAAGGGAACAAGTGGAAACAAGAGGCTCCAACTCCAAGCAGCTTCAGCTTTCACTGAAAAGGAAGACAAGCAGCCTAGTGGCCTGGATCTGAATCTTCAGCTCAGGAACACAAGCTGGGCTGTTCCTGGTATCGGAAAGAAGTCATTTCTATACGTGTCTTCTGGAAAGTTTTGTTCCATCTTTAGGAACATTTGGACTTAAACTCTAGCATTGCTGAATGTCATGGAGTTCTTATTTTGTCTTGAAGTTAAGATCTTTACAGTAGTAACCACTGCATTGGTAATAAGTAAGGAAATAAAACATCAGAGTTTGGGGAAAAATTTGCCAGAGCTGTGCTACTTTATGAGAGATTAACCAATGGAACAATTTAGTTGACACTTGTGATTTAACGCAGTGTTCCTGGCCTGTCCTAAGGAGGGTGACCAGATTCTGTGCCTCTCTTAGTTGTCACAGTTAGTTACTTGTGCTAATTAGCAGTTGGGAAAAGGAAAGAAAAGCAAAGGGATGTGAAGTATCTGCCAGCAAGTTCTGATAGCAATGCCTCTCCTGGGCTATGACCCTTATGAAACTAATGGACAGAAAAGGGCTTGGTTGCAAAAGCTTTCACACTATTTGAAGTGCAAAACGAGTTTTTAGAGCTGGAAGAATGTTTATATATTACTTAATTCAATTATTTTATCTTACAGATGAAGAAACTGAGACCCAGAGTTCAAATAACTTCCAGGTTGTGCTGCAAAGGGGTAGTTGATGCAGAGATCAAGCATAAGCCTTCCTACCCTTTTTTTCCAAACGTTCATCCCTTTGAATTTGCTCTCAGAACTCTGCTAAACATTTTGAATTATGGGAGCTTTGCTCATTTGGAAGCTGTATTTAATTTAATCTTTGCTGAAGGTGCAGCAGAGAGAAATAAGGAGTAGCTATTGCAATACTTTAGACTTAAATGTCAGGCTGGGGATTTAACTCAGCGGCACAGCACCTGCCTGGCAAGCGCGAGGTTGTGAGTTCGATTCCTGGTACTGGAAAAAAAAAAAAAAGAAAAAAGAAAAAATAGACATATGTCCCTAACTCTCATTTCTCCTAGCAGATGGAAGGAAGGAGTAGCCTGAGATGTCTCAACATTAGAAAATCAGAAGGTAATTTATGAGTACTTGAAAGAGATGAGGAAACATGAGTTATGTTTACTTTCCTAAGTATACTTATGTTTGGTTAATACTGAGTGAGTGTTAAGCAAGGAGTTAGAGATCTAAATTCCATCTGGAGCTGGGTCTCGACAAATAATCTTAAACAGGATATTCTCTTTGGGCTTTGGGTTCCTCCCAATGTTAGTTGATACTTAAGGCTTAGTGAGTCTTCAGCTTTAGAGGTTCTAGAAGTATCTATACTTCGAGTATCACTGTTGTAGGAGGGAGAACTTTCTGGGTGGAAGGGGGCCTGCATAAAGTCAATGTGCATTTGCAAATTGAGTGCTTGCCTTACAAACATGATCCAATAGAACAACCCCAGGCCAAATGGTCAGGACATGCACATGGTTGTATTTCTTGTTGCTCCTTGATTTCGGATGAGTCTTTGACTCTCACCAAGTCTTACACAAAAATCTCTAGAATAAGATTGATGCCTGTCCAGTTTACTTCACAGAGCTGTTGCAGAAGCAAAGGATGTAGAAGTGCTTTGTGATATAACAGCCCCCACGTGTATGTAACTGAATACGGAATTTGTCCTTAGTGTTCAAGAACAAGTTCAAAGCAGTCTTAAGAGTCAGCCAAAAGTGGCTTAGATCAGGGAACAGAAAGAGCTGCGATTTCTTTTTCTCAGAATTATTTTATTCTCCCAGCAAAGGTTCAAGGTTGACAAAGGGTTTCACAAGGTTGTTCATGTGTACAGGTTTTCCTGGGATAGTCCTATCTAACAGCTTTAGTGTCATTATCAGGAATGCATAGTTTTGCTCTTAAAAGTATCTCTGCTTTTCTCCTGGCAGAGGGAAGGAAGGAGTAGCCTGAGATGCCTCAACGTCAGAAAATCAGAAGGTAATTTATGAGTACTTGAAGAGATGAGGAAACATGAACTATGTTTACTCTCCTAAATATGCTTATGTTTGGTTACTACTTCGTGAGTGCTAAGCAAGGAGTTAGGGAACAGAGTACAATGCTGTCCTAAAGTTAGACATCATTCTATCTAAAAACTCTTCATTCTATTATGTACGGAGAATGGAAGGCTCAGGGAAGAGAAAATGATTCCCCAAATCTTCTTAGAGCCTGGATTGGCAAACCCCTCCTCTTAGTGTTTGAGAAGGCAGAGGAGGGAAGGGCAAGAGGAAGAGAATGACTTCCTTTGTTTGCTCTTTAGCTTTAACAGGAGTTGCCCCACCCACCCCCTCCTTGGTTTCCTGGAAAGTGATCAGCAGTAGTGTGGGTGCCAGTGGCCAGGAGGCAGCTGGAGATGGAGGAAACTTTACAGAAACCTGGAAAAGGAAGCAATTTCTTTTCTTTTCTATACCCAGGAGAACATACCCAGAGGGAGAAACACTGCCTATTAATAACTACCCCTTATTTAGACATACAGTGTTTTGCTATTATCTTTGCTGTTTATCAGTACCTTCACAGCCATGATTTTGAAACCTACACAGGCAGTTGATCTACTTTAGGCTCCCACTAAATGTCAAGGTGGGACTGGAAGTTGGTCTCCTATCTCTTTGCCCAATATTTCCTATACTTCACATTTCCCGCAGCATCTTCACACTTCCCATAAGCATCTTCAGTGAAGAAAACTCATTATAGTAAGGTCTTTTGGGTATTCAAGTAACCAAATCCTCCTGGGTGGAATCTACCCCCGCAGGTGCACCTTAAACCTTGAATTTGGCTGGCAGCAAGTAGTGTTAAAACAGTTCATGATCAACTGCGAGCTTCATTCTACAAACACTTCCTCTGAATAAATGAGTTTGTGGATGTTTTCTGAAATGAAAGTTTCTCTTTAAAGTTGTTGCTGAGATCCTGGGGAATAAAGGACAATCACAATCTCTACACTAACTGCGTGGCATTTGCAAATTACTGACATGATCCTTTGCAGAATCTCCATTTCGGGAAGATTTGTAATGTCAGAAACTGAAATTGTCTGTTTAGAACTTGAAGTGTCCCAAGGCCATAGGAATTCAGCTTGACAAGAGATACAGTTACAGCCGTCCTCACTCTACCCTAAGCAGGGTGACCTTGCAGGGGCAAAGGTTTTGGTTGGCAAGAGTTAGGGACCTTGGGTTTGGTCTTTAGTCCATAGATGACTCATTTGCTGATAGCAAAATCACTTTTCCTTGTAAGATGTTTGTGTTTTCTAATTTTTAACCTGTTGAAATAATGTTAGTATGCTTCACACTTCTCAAGTCACTGGAATTTCATTTTTTTCTGAGCGTACTATGGGAATTGATCATGTATAGGCAGTAAACAAGCAGAACCGGAGACTTGAAGACCCTGTGTTTATCCACTAGGCAGCCATCAAGCTATGGGCTCCTCTATGTGAAAATGATTGGATAAATTCCTTTTAGTCCTAAACACCATGATTCTAAGGATGACTGTTGGCTTAGTGATAGACTTTTCCACCCAAGGAGTTTCACCTTGCCTGGAACTCAAGGTATACAGCTAGAAAGACAGGGAAAGGGGTGGTTATGGTGTAACACTGTCAGAATCTGAGGCGGAAGGCTTAACACTCTACAGTTTACAAGCATTTGCACAACAGTTGCTTCTTTTGCTCTTACTCAACATTGTACACACCGGCATTCACACAGGGATCTTTTACGAAACACATTATATTGCGGCAGAGCTCAGGGATATAAAGAGAAACAGGAGACCACATGTACCTTGAGGAGCGCACCATCTGCCAGAGGAAACGGGCAGGTAAACAAGTCATTGTAATTGCAAAGTAGAAATGGTGTAAGAGAGAGGCATTCGAATGCTGAGGAGAAAAGAGAATGATGATTCATTTTTCTGAGGAAGCGGGGAAAGCACACAGAGGGTGGGATCCTGCAGGATGAGTACCCTAGACAGATAAGGGACCCATCTAGGTGGAGGAAACTGCATGCATGAAGCAGAGAGGCCTAAGTGAGCATGGTGTATTTGGGAGAGAGGGTCAGAGCTTGGGGAATTGGGCCTTGACGCACTGAATACGGGTTAAGCTGTGAAGTTAGTCCAGGGCCTAACTCTGGAAGACTTTGAACGGCATGCAGAGAATTTGAATCTCAGGCAATTAGATCCCCATTCTCTAGATGAGGAAACAGGCTCACAGAAGGCAAGAGCTTTGCTGGAGCTACGCGTTTGGTAAGGTAAGGGGGACAGCTGGAACCCTGCGCTCTGTGCTCTTTTTGCTACCCTGTGCTGCCTCCAACAGGCCTGAGCCGCAGCAGGCCCTGCGTGGGAGAGGCCTCTGGGCTGTTTATCCTGCTCCAGTGGGGCTGGCTCTGGCAGGGAGTGGAAGTGGGTGGGGTGGGGACTGTGGAGGAGAGGCGGGGCCTGACAACAAGGGCTACATTCAAGGCCTGCACTGGAGCTGGGCGAGGAGAATGGAAAGCTACAGTCTGCTGGAGCCGTCCAGCCTTGGCAGGGCTGCCGGGGCCTTATAAGGAAATGTTCTCTCCCTGCCAGTGGGGCTGGGATGGAGCCCTGTGCCCACAGGACAGAGCTGCCCTTGTGGCGATAGCTGGGGGTGCCACCGCCCCTCCGCTGTGAGCAGGAGCTCTCAATGGGCCACTTCTGCAGGCTCAGCATTCCCTCTCAGCCTGCGGCCCCCACCCCTCCACACCCACCCTCTCCCCATCGCCCTCGGCTGATTGGAGGGAAGGAAAAACACAAAACAAAATAAAATCTTGGCAGGGTCCCAGGCCTCATTGCTGTTTGATGCCGAATTACCCGAAAACAGATCCCAATCAAATTCCCTGTCTTTTCTGTGAAGGATGCATGTGTCAGGGGATCTGTCTCTGGCCTCCTCTCCTACCCTGCACCTTTGCCTCTCTTGTGACCACAAGAAGTCCCAGCACTGGCCCCTTGGTGATGCAGAAACAAAGTGAGAAGGAGGAGAAGCCTCATGAGGGTGGCTTTCCCACCTCCTAGTGGATGAACAGCAGCCACTGGAGCGCTCACTCTCCTCAGACTCCTCGTCTGTGCCAGGGAGGCCGGAAGGCGTAAGAGGCTCACAGAGGAAAAACACAGCCTGCCCCGGAAGTTGGAGTCAGCTCCGAGGGAGCGTTAGTCAGCTCCTGGAAGGAAGGCCTTTCCGCGGTGCGCAGTGAGGGGTGATTTCAAGCACTGATCCCTAAGGGATCTCCCTGAACTTAGAATTGAACTTGAGATTGGAATAGGGGCAGAAAAGATGCTTCGTGTGGTCTTTTGCTTTGATTCTTTGTAGACTCAATGACCCACGAAACCTTGGAGTGACAAGGAAACAGGCCTGCCGGGGCAATTCTCTACCTAACACTGAAATCTCCTTCACAGGAAGCTTGGGAGATCTGCAGCCAGTCAGTGCAACCCAGTGACCACGAACTCAGTCCCTCAAGGCAGCCGATCCAGTACATGGAGGTCACCTCAGTGTGTCTGTCATTGTGATGCAGCCTGAGAGACTAAGAAGAGTAAGTCATGGGAACAGGAGGAATGTCCTGCTAGCAAGGAGTTTATCTTCCAGAGCAAAGTGATGAGACTGAAATGCCAAGGAAAAAAATGGGGGAAACTCTCTCAGTGTTGAGAGGAAGACGAAATTCCTCTTGATGTGGTCTTCACAGCAATGGATGAGCAAAGACTCTGCAGAAGAGATGACATCTGGGGTAAAGAAAAGCTAAGAGTTGAAAAATAACATTTTGGGGAGAGAGGAAGGTGGAGACAGCATTTCTAGGCACAAGGACTGGCATGACCAGTGGTGAGGAAGCTTGGAGCTCACTTGGTGCCTGCAGGGAGGCGGGTGTGGCTAGGTGTGTGCAACTGGGAGAGGAGGGAGTTATGGCTGGAAAGTAGGTCAGTACAATTGTTTTGCAGGCATCAAATGCCAAAGAGGGAAGAAGGATCCAAGTGGTGGACCTCCAGAGCCGTGAGAATCTTTAGAGTACTAAAGAGGTGTGACTAGCATTGTGACTTAGAAAGTGTGGTCCCACGGATCCCAGGTTTTCTAGCACTGCTGAGCCTTCGAGGTGCTATTTGAACAGCCAGCAATGTTTCCTTCAGGAGAGCAGGAGGACAGGCCACTTTGGTCCATTTCTGTTTCCACTCTGAGGCTTTCTGTGTACTAGTCATTCTGTTCAGATGTGGTTAAGACAACTAATCTTTGGTCCTTTCTGATGGGAGGTTATAAAAAGTCACGCATGGTTGAAAGACAAAGCTACTTTGATGTCAGCTCACTTCAGAGAGCCTGTTCTCTGTAAGGTGTCCACTAGTCACATGGCTGCATCTGCCCCCATCATGGTACTACTATGGATAGAAGGATGGGGCCTTTGCAGAGTGCTTTGATCCCTGCTGGGTGCAAAGCAGGGGTAACTTCCTGCTCTTGAAGAAATCCAAGATGCTTGAGAGCATAGCAGTGAGATTCCACCAGAGTTCCAGCCCAGTCCTACTACCCAGCTGGACCAGTTCAGCCACAGGAGTGAGAGGGACTTGAGCTTGACCCTCACATCTGGCCCCTGCCTCATGCTCCTTGAAGGCTGAACTTGACGGAGTGGTGCTGTGAATCTTAGTAGTAAGCACTGCTTTGCATCAACATTTTCTTCCTTGAAAATCAGACACTGACACTCGGAGCTACAGAGATACAGCGCTGGCTATGGAAGAACTAGTGTCTGTCCTTCCACTAGGGTATAGTTATAGTTGTACTTCTTTTGAATTTATGTTACATGACAGTGAATTTATTTTCCCCACTTAAAGGGATATATGAACATTTTATAGTGAGATGATATTATCTTAACCCTAGGGAATGAGTTTCAAATAATCAACTTGCATGATGGCTGAGGTCCTATTATATGAAACAAAAATTTTCTTGGTATCTCTTAATTTTTATCATCACATCTAGATTTTTAGCTAGCTACCCTCCATCTCTACTGCCGGGAAATGTCACTGACAAATCTCCCTTGCCGTTTTTCATTTAATTGAATTTCACTTAACTGTTCATTTATTACTTAGCCATCACCCATTGGTAATGAGTAGTTAAAAGACTCAAATGGTATAAAGCAAATACAATATGTCTTCCTCTTCCTCTTTACCTGACGGTCTTCATGACCTCTTCCAAAGCAGTCCCTGCTAACTTTTTCTTACATATTCTCTGTGATGCTTTTATGCAAATAATCACCAAGAACTTTTGTCATCTGGCAAACAGAGTCTTCTAGGGGCAGTTGTTTTCCCAGGTCTCCTACTTAGGATACTAAATCCTGGTTCTGGATGCTAGAAAGACATCACCTGGTCCAGGTATCTATAAAGCAACCCCTGACCCTTTATGAAGACTGCCAGAAGATACCTGAGCTCACTCTCTGAAATGAGATTTAAACACCACCCCCTGCACAATCCCATAAAAAGAAATCAAAACAAATGAATTGTACTGGGAGTTCTGGTGCCAATTAGCAGGGCCTTGGAGAAAGGGCTGGCATCCAGTGGCTAGAGGAAGAGTCCTGGAAGAGATACATCCTCTTTTCTGGTCCGCATTTCTTCGATTCTTCATGTCCTGATCTGGGCTGAACTTACCATTGGTTCTTCCGTACCTTACCTTACTAATCATGCACATTTTTCTCCTAAGCTTGCTTGTCCTGGGATGGACAGATCCATTAATACTGTGATTCTCCCCATCAGTTGGTGCATTGCCTGCTCACTGACAGTGCTGGAGCACGCTCTTGCTCCCTGTTCACACCAGAGCTGCATTTTCTCAGCGAGGACTGGGATTGATCAGTTCTGGCAGTGCTGGTTTCCACATGCTGGTTGCTGGGAAGGGGTTTTAAAGATTTTTGGTGCAAAGAATCTCCTTGTGACTACAGTCCCAACTTAAAATTTATCGTCCATATGCAAGCACCCTCACACTTTCAGTGCAGCTGAAATTAAATATCTCCCAGGAGGTAGCATCCTGAACACTGGAACACTAGAACACTAGTGTTTAGCTACCTCCTGTCCAGTGTGATGTAGGTTTCACTTACAGAAGAATCTCTATGATAAGTGAGATAGGATCAAGCCAGCACAAATAGAACTATGACTATCCCAGTAGTGACAGATATGTGAAATCTAACAAGGTGAGGAAAACACATGCAATAAACAACTAGATAAGAATACAGAATTGAGCCTACTGAAATACTAGGAAAATGATATAAAAGATAGTATTAAAGAAAAAGTTACAGATAGGCTTTTTGTATTTAACAATGTTTTATTCTCCACACTGTAGTTCCTTCTTTGTTCTTTCTCATATAAAATGTACATTTCTACATAGCTGCCATCATAATGCAAATACTATTTAGGATTCTGTGTTTTCATTTAATATTATGTGAGTGTACCATATTGCTCCAATCTTTATTTTATGGCTGCAGAGATGCCATTGTAGTGAGTCACAATACATTTTTTGCCTTTTACCTATTACTGGAATTTTATGTCTCCAGCTGCTTAGCATTATAGATACTTTTGTAAAGAATGTCTTAGCATATTTAGCTTTGTACTTTTTTGTTGACTTCCTTAAGATCAAACTCAAGGAGGGAACTGACTTGGCCAAAGAATATGGACCTCTTTCTGGGGAACAGCATCTCCTTTGGTACAAAGCCAACTGTGTCGGGCAGAGCTCTAAGCCTCATTCTGATGTTATTAGCTTGGTGTTCTAAGCCAGTAACTAGCATGTCACCTGGCAACTGAGCAGAAGAGAGGAGGCTTACGAGGTCCTGAGGGAAGCTGTTCATGTGCAAGCTCTCTGCTGGTGACAGCAAAATGTAAGTGATGGGATCCCAGTGTCTGTCTTGTTTGCAGAGGTTATTGAGGGACTATGAACAAAAATTGGGAGAAAAAGCAAACCGGTGCTGACATCTCAATTTGGTTTTGTAGCTACAGTGGGCTACATGGGATAGAGGGCTCGTAGTCACTGTACCCTTAGTGTGAAGATGCTGTGGCCCTCCTCAGTGGCACTACACGTGAGCACAGCCTTTGTGGCAGATGCTTAATTATGTGCATCACAGATGTCAGCTGAGGCCTGGAGGAGTCCACTAAACTTGACCCACACTCAATACCAATACTCATGAGAGCCTTGAATCCACATCACAATTGCTGCAGATACCCACAGTCTACAACACCATGCTTCATCCTCTGCCCTGCATCCGTTAGAGGAACAGGCTCCACTTCTTTCTCTGCCCTTCGCAGAAATCTACTTATGCCCAGGTCTTTGTGAGTTGGACAACTTTGCTGAAAATTGGGGTCCCCAGGGGGAGTGTCATGGTAGGCCGGGAAGCCCTGTGCTATGTTTTTGCCCCTTCCCGTTTGTTAATCTCATTGGCTTGAGCAAGAGGCAACTAATTCTCCCTGTCTTCCTTAGACTTCTACCCCCATATTCGGGTCCCTTCAGTGCCTGTCCAGGTATTTTCTGCAGGTATGTGCAAATCTCTCCCTCAAGGGAATTCTGGTAGATAATCTTTTTTCATTTCTCCATCTGCTATCAATAACAACGTCCTTATTGGTAGGTGACTAGTAGGGAGCTATGAAATAAAATTCACATTTACAGGGCACTTTGGCAGGTAAGGTTGCGTTCATGCCTCCCTCTCGGCAGCTCTAACGGGCTGCTAGTTGAACAGGTGTTGTGATCTGAATACTTGTGCCACTCAAAATTCTGTGGAGTCTTCTGTGAGGGCCCCTGGAAACAGTGACCTTGTGAAGCCTCATGACTTGCTCAAGAGGGTGGGACCCTTGTGAATATGATTAGTGCACTTTAAAAGAGCCTCCAGACAGCTCTCTCCCTTGCCTTCTGGTATGTAGGAATACATGTGAAGTAGTAGTCTCAGCCTAGAGATGAGTCCTTTCAAAACTCAACCAAGAAGACAGAGTAATACCGCACCTCCAGGGAGCCATACTGTCAAAAAATAACATTTATGTTGTTTACAAACCATACAACATACGGAAGTTTGTCATGGCAGCCTGAATAAGTTAGGACAACAAATATTATTACCTTGGCTTAGAGGCAAGGGGTGAGACCCAGAACAAGAGAACAACCTGCCTCCAGCCACTTCGTGGATTTTTTTTTTTTTTTTTTGGTACTGGAAATCGATCTCAGGACCTTGCACTTGCCAGACAGGTGCTTGTGAGGCTGAGCTATATCCACAACCAACACTCAGTGGATTTTGATGAGCTAGAATCAGCGTCAGGTGTGTGCTGGGTCTGGCACACAATTCTACCGTACATGACACTGCCAGGCCAGCTCTGGGGGCCTAACCAGGAGCAAGCATGGTAGGCATTCAATCAATGTCCACCCACTGCCCGTAACTGAGTGCACATTTGTGTCTGCCTTCAAGAAGCACAGAATGAAGGGAGTGTGAACAAAACGAGGGACTTCTCATTCCAGGACTCAACTCTTAGTTGAAACCAGGTGCGAAAAGCAATATGTGGTATGTAGGACGTGTGATCCAAATACAAGCTGAATATTTAAATGAAAAAATTATTGCAGGAAAAGACACACTGCCAAAATACTTTTGCCACTTTCTGAAGCAGTTCTGGAAGTCCTTTTTCATGAGTGTCTTTATGAGGTGTGATAAAATCTACAGTGAATGCTGCTACCCAGCGCATACCGTGGAAAGCAGGCCCGTTACAATACTGCGGCATGTCCTTGTCCACTTATTAACCAGATCTGGCTCTTCTTCAAAGTGCGACTTCTGGCTCTTCTTCAAAGTTCAAATGACCATGAAAGGTAAATGTTTTGAGTTGACTCAGGACGTGGAAGCAGCTACAACAGTGCAATTGAGGATGCTCTTGGATGAGGGAATCCCAGTTTCTGAAAGTGGCAAGAGTGAAAGGATATGTGTCTTCAAAGTGATGGGGAGTATTTTGAGGGCAATTCATGGGAATGTCTTTTACTGTAATAATTTATTTAATTTAAACGTTCAATGTATTTTTTTTTCACCAGACCTCATACATCTAATGGAGACTCAGTCATCATAGGGGATGAAATACCAGTACTCGCTACAGCATGATGGACTTTGGAATCATCAGGCTGAGTGTAAAAAGCCGGACACAAAAGGCCACGTATTCAGGTAGCAAGCTGGTAGTTACTAGCCTTGGCGGGTAGAGAGACTTGAATATGACTTCTTAATGGAATAGAATTTCTTGTGTGATGATAAGAATGCCACAGAACTGAACAGTGTAGTTGCCTAACATGGTGCTTATACTAATGATAAATAGTCTTCTAATTCCCTGGCTTCCACTTTTATGGGGGATGTTCTGCATTTTCCTGTGATCTCTCCTTCTATCCCTCTTTTGTTGAGCATTGATTGGACAAAAGAGAGCTAGTTCTTGTCCTTATATTGCCCCTAAAACAGAATAACCGTGAGGAAGACCCTCCTTCCTTTGAGCCCCTGCCTTCTTATTCCAGATGAAGAGTTCACTAATATGGAATTTCTCTATTTGCTCTTTCCTTCTGGTTTTGGTTTGTTTACTAAATTATATTAAATTGTGTATTTTAAAAAGGTTAATTTTATATTATATGAATTTCATTTTGATTTTAAGAAGAAAGTAAGCAGGTGTGACTTCATTCTTTGTACTTTATTAGATATTTTGCTGCATGATCCCAAGTCATGATGCTTCCTCTCTGGACGGAATGAACATATGTAGTTCTCAATTCTGTCACTTGCTAGCTGTGTGACCTTGGATCATTTATGCCCCTCTTTGGTGTAAGATGAAGAGATTATTCAAATTGTGTCCAAGGCCCCTTCTAGGAAGCATTGTAGGCGTTTCAGAGCAAAAAAGATGAGTCTACGGAGAGGAAGGGCACTCTGTGAGCTTCTTATGAAAAATCTCAGCTAGTGGACTGCAGAGACTTTTAATTTCCTGTCTGCAGGCGTCAGGGAAACAGTCACACAGATAATGGCTTCAGCTGCTGACCCGGCTGGCACCGCTGGGGCTCTCACCATGCTTCATTGAACAAGGTAAGCCCCTCGGTAATCCCATTAAGTGCTGGGGCAGCGAGTCATTTCAGTATCACCCAGACACCTTCCTGAGGTGTCCCCAGCAAGGAGAGGAGCTCCAGCTAGATCATTATGACTTGACCTAAAGCAGTATTTGAAGCATGAATTGGAGCTTTTAATCAGGTTGTGACTTGGAAACCCATCATGCCTAAATCGATGTACAGAAGGGCTCAACATGTGTGCATTCACTGTCTTCCTACAGATTTTTTGCACTGGTGATATCCTAGGTACTGTGCTAAGCTTTAGGAAGACACAGATAAATTAGAAAAATTCACTTTCCACTGGGAGTAACAGCCTTAACCAGGACCAAAATATAGTATTATAAGGGCAGTGTAATAAAAGTAGAAAGTAGAAAACCAAGCATTTGATGGAAAGAACGATTGCCTCTGAGGGACAGATATTGAGGGTCAGATTGGAGGGTCAAGAAAAGGTGACCCTTACGTGGGTTTTCAGGATAAATCAGAGACTTACATGTTTCTAAAGGTGCTTGCTCTAAGGAGGGTGCTAAAGTGGTTTGCTCCAGGGGAGAAGTATTTTATCACTGTTTACAATTGCTAGTGCAGGGAGACAATAAAAAGAGGTTAAGTTTTAGTCTATTTCATTATTGATTTTAAATTCTTGCAATGCAATGAATTCCTTCCCTATCCTTGAAAATATCCTGCAGTTGGACTGATTGTTTTAAACCATCTGCACACTGGTCTTTGTTGCCCAGTAAGAACTTAAATCCTTACTACTGAAGCACAGGAGACAGTGGTGGGGGTGGCATGGTTCCATCTCTTAATTCCCTGGCCAAGGCTTTCCCTTTTATGGTGGATGGTCTCCATGTTCCTGTGATCTCTCCTTCTATCCCTCTTCTGGCTGAGCATTGATTGGACAAAGGAGAGCTGAGTTCTTGTTGTTATATTGCCCCTAAAACAGAGTAACCATGAGGAAGACCCTCCTTTCTTTGAGCCTCTGCCTTCTTATTCCAGATGAAGGGTTTACTAATGTGGAGCTTCTCTATTTGTTCTTTCCTTCTGGTTTTGGCTTGTTTACTTTGCTATGGCCCCCATTGCTTCTTCTTGCATTCCACAAGACCCCCTTCACTGACTTCTGCCTGAACATAAAGGCATTTGCACTTGGAAATTTGGCCTAGATCCATCCTAGGGACAAGTCTTTCTTGGTCATCTTTGAGCAACCAGACTGTTTAGGAAAGAGAAAAAACCTCAGAGCGTCACTTCCCTGGAACTTGCCACTATATAGTCTCTGATCCAGACAGTATGTCTATTTTTTGTATGTGCTCTCTTTGGCTTCTCTGCATTAAAAAATAAAGCAATTGAATACTGATGCTTGCAGATCTGGATGCTGAGCTCACCAGCCTAAGGCAGCTTCAGATCATGCTCTTTCATCAGTAAAGAGCTTCAGACTTCTGAGCTGTGAAGCCAGGGTCCTCACAGGAGGACCACCTGGCCTGTGTAGCCCAGCCTAGGGGGCCAGCTGCCTTAGGGGGAGATCTCAAATGTAGAAAAGTCTGAAGCTGGTCTTTGCTATCAAATCCTCTCCTACACCCTTTCTACTCAGCCTTCTCAAGCTATAGGAGATTAGAGTGACTTAGAATCTAGACAGACATAGGGAATCACCCTTCCAGCCAACGCAGACTACCCCATGGCTGGCCTCTCCTTCAGACTTGCAGCCTTCATTTGAACAGCTCATTTTGGACGGTGCAGGGAAGCTGTCCTCCAAAGGATGATGGAAACTGCATTTTTCTGACGCCCAGTAACTGGTTTTCTCAGAACCAAGTGTATCTCTTCCTTGCAAGACAGTCTTTGGAACATATGGGAAAAGATTGTATATCCTACTGTCCTGGAGCTCTGCCGTCCCCTTGGTGGAGCAGTGGAACCCTCCCAGTTCTGTGGGCTGCTGAAGCCCAGGGAGGAGAAGGCACTGGAAGCCCTGCAGGGAAACACCATCCACTCCTCCATTGTCCTTGTTCTAGCAGCCCCACAGGGTTTGACCTCACATGAACGTGGGTTGGGAAACAGTGCCTGGCTGGTCTGCTGCCCACTGGGGACAATTTCACAGAGTGGGAGCTGGGGACACTCAGAGGACAGCTGGCCATCTCTGACACACTGCGGTAACTCTTCCACCTCTCGCTTTTGAGGGGCTGATGTGGGGAGCGGGTTAAATGTCGGGGTTTAAGGAGGGGCTGCAGATACCCTTTTCCACTTTCTTGCTTCAAACTACTAAGCAATGCTGGCCTAAATGTCAGCGCTGCAAACTCCACTTTTAAGATCCTTCTGTATCTGTGTAATACCTGTACAATAATTGACTTACTATTCTCCCTAAATGACTCTCTTTTTAATTTATTTTCTCTTGAATAATAATACCTGGGAAATCACAGTTTTGATGTGATAGTTATATTGTTTTCCTAATATACTCTGAAGTAAATATACAGCTATTTCAATAAAAACATTTACATATTTACTGCCTCAAATATTTGTACAGCACCAGTGATGTACATTGTACATTTGGGAAAGTATTGTGATTGAGAATAGAAATCCCTCTATGATCTGGCCTCTGCTTTTGCTCTAAACTTATATTCAGCCCTTTCTTCTTGGAGATCCCCAAGGTTCAATGACGTTTTTGTTCCTCAAAGCTGTCAACCCCAGTTCTCTACCCCGGGCTCTTTGCATTTTGTAAAGAACACTTCCAGTACATCTTCATGTGTCTTACATTTTCTGCATGTTAAAGTCTTCATTTCTCCTTCGCAGGGTACCATTCAGTCTAAGGTGACTATCTCACACCCTGTTCTACCTTTCCCTTTACAGTCACTCTTTGTTTTGGGTCCTTGAAGCACTTTCTAAGGTCTAACATAGTTTGCTTGTTTTCTGATTTACTTATTGTTTCCGTACCTCTAGTAAGGTAGAATTTCCATAAAAGTAGGTATCTTACCTATCCTGTTTACCACCACTTTCTGGTACTTATCATAAGGCCTGAACAAAAAAAATGCATCCTCCATAAATATTTTGTAAATGAATAGAAACTTAAAAAGGATTAAAAGACATATACTTTATCAGTCAAATGAAGATTAAAACAAATTTTTATCAGATGTATGGTGATCACTTATATCCATTTGATGAATTGCTAGAGAAAGCAGCTTGGAAGTGAGACCACCTGGGGGCTTCCAAGCCCCCCTTTAATTGCTGGCTTCTGGACTTGCCATGTACAGGCCTTCTTTCTGACGTATGCAGCCCCAGAGACATAGGCTGGACAAGACAGAATGGCAGCCTGGACCTCCCTTTAGAAGAAAGATGTGGGCTCCACTTAGAGAAGGAGCCGAGGAGAAGCCTTGGACCTGTTCAACAAGCCAAGGACCTGTTCATCCATGCACGGGGCCTCAGGAAGCCCCAGTGGACACAGGGAGCCTGAGGCCCTGGACTGCCAGCCTCCACCAACCAGATGGACTCCTGTACTTCCTCCTGGGGGTGGGGGTGGCAGAGGTGGTCAGTGTCCTCTAAAATCATGAAATACTGAAAGTGCTGGAAGTGAAAAAGGGAAATAAGAAAAGCACTGTAGGCTCTCTTACTTTGGAAACTATAAATAGGATAAACTCTGTGTGTTTGTGTGTGTGTATATATATGCACGTGTGCACGCATGCACACACGGGCAAAAGAATCAGTGCACAAAAGAAATCTAAGATGGGGGAAGGGAACAGTGTTCCTCATTTCCGTTCTCTCTGGAAACATCCATCATTCTGTGGTGCACTTCCCTGACCCTCGAGGACTCTGCCGGCTCTCGCCCAATCACATTTCATTTTCACCTCTTCCGTTGCCTAACCCTGCTTCCCTCTTCCCATTTGTCAACATTTGCTGCTCACAAAGCTCCATTCCAGAGACTGCTGGACTGGACCGAGGACAGCACGTGTCAAACCCTAATGGTTGTGTCCTCCATAACTAGTTGCTGTATTGCCTGCAAGAACTAGTATTTTACTGCATTTGCTTCTTGTACTTGAAATCGAGACAAACCACATCCAAAGAAATGACTGTCAGAGCATCTGGAAGAATGCAGACAGTTCCCTTAAAACTACTCAAAATAGCAGGGGTGGTGACATGTGCCCGTAGTCCCACCCATTCAGGAGGCTGAGTGCTGGAGTTTGAGGCAAGCCCGGGCAACATACTGAAACTCCATCTGTAGGAAACAAAAACCAAAACCAGTTGACACAAGATAATGAAGGTTAAAATGGAAGGAATGGAATACATATGACTGAAGTTAAATACTATTTGTAAAGCAGCTGACCCTCTCAATTTATTCCACCTCAAACCCTGGCCCTGGGTATGTGTGACTCCATTTGTTTGTCCCATCTATCCCTTGCCTTCAGCTTGCTCAAGGGAGAGCCTTGATGGCTACCACCTGTCAGGTATCTCCTACTACCATCAGCTTCTCAGACACCTCCTGCCCTCAAGAGGTTGGCCTATGGCATGGCCCCCATCACATCCTGTGTGGGAGCCACCAGCTCTTGTATCACCAGGCGATGAGTTGGTTCTTGCTTCCCCAGTGGCCCCAAAGAGCCAGGAAATACACCTAAAAGTGTAGCATGTGAAGTCTGAATAAGGAGGATGAGAGGTGAGAGGGAGTTGGTGTTATTAGACCCTCATTTTCCCTCTAGCACCTTCTGGCCCCAACAATGGACTGTCCCACACAGCACAAATTCCGTCAGGCCTCTGCACAACAGCCGCACTTTCTGATTGGTCCTGTGACCAGTATGAGATTCACTGGATTTGTTTCTCTCCCATTTATCTCCTTTCCTTTTTTCCCCTTAATCTTGCTGCCTTGTGATTGTAGTCCCCAACCCCTTACACACATTGAAAGAAAGAATTGCTGTGGAAGCTTTTCTTCAGTTGTGCACCTTACACAACTCAAAGGAGGACACACAGACATTAATCTGTCTCATTGATTTTCACAAACTATCATTCCATATGTAGGGGAGTGTCAGTTAGCTTTCCTTTGCTGTTATAAAATACCTGAGGAAAATCAACTTACAGAAGAAAAAATTTATTTTGGCCCAGTTGCAGAGCTTTCAGTTACGTTTGGCTGGCTTTAGACACAGGTAGCTTGGTGGAAGTTTGTGGCAGAAGAAAGCTTCGTATCTCATGGCAGCAAGGGAAAAGAGGAAAAGAGAAGAGGGTCGAGGGGAGGGAGAGAGAGACAGAGAGAGAGAGACAGTGAGACAGAGAGAGACAGAGAAAGACAGAGAGACAGTGAGACAGAGAGAGACAGAGAGACAGAGAGAGACAAAGAGGCAGACATAAAGAGAAACAGAAATAGACAGAGACAGAGATGAAGAGACAGAGAATAGCAGAGGAGAGGAGAGGAGCGGAGGGGAGGGGAGAATAATAGAGAAGGGAACCAGGAAACAGATACAGTGCTCAACATCATGGCTCTGCGATCCACTCCCTTCAACCAGGCCCCACTTCCTGTTTCTATCACCTCCCAATAATGCCATCACTATGAGCTCATAGTTGGACCAGTCCACTGATGAGATTAAATTCTCATGATCCAACCGTCATCCAGAAGCCGCAGACCTGAATACATGAACCTTCAGGAACATACTTGAGATCCAAACCTTAAAGGGGAGGGTGAGGTGTAGGAATTATTGCTGTCATGTCTCAGTAGAGCAAACCAGAGGTAAACTAAACTTGGCAATGCCAAAGCTGCTGAGTACGTGGTAGGTCAGGATTCTATCTATGTGTTGGTCTGTTATAGTTTGTGTCTGGGTGTTCCCACAAAGCCTCATGCAGCCATGGGATGGGCTTCTAGAGTTTATTGGTTGATCCATGGTACAATGCTGGGATTATGGGTGTGAGTGCTACACTGCCCTGGAGCAGGTAGTTTGCATACAATGTAAGCGAGGGAAAGAAGCTTGCTCTCCCCGACTGCTCCACTGCTCCTCCCTTTTTGCTCTTGCTGCTTTTGCTGTCCCCATGGACAGTTGCCCTCTGCCATGTGCCACCCTGCCTTGGAGCTAGCCAAATATAGACTGAAACCTCCACAAACTGCCAGCTAAATAAAATTTTGGGGGTTGGGCATTTTGTCTCGGCAACAAGGGAAAAGTAACCAAGACAAGGTCCAAATTGGATATTTTTCTTACAACTGCATTTCAGTTTCCATTAAGAACTACAAGGACTAAGTAACTACTTCTTTCCTTGGGAAAGTAGCATTTGGGGTAGAAAGGAAATGGAGGAAGAGGAATTGAGACTACACTCCCATTGGCTCCTGTTTCTGGAGCACCTCAAACTTTCACTTTCTGCAAGGCCACAGTCAAATGTGTGCTTTTAGTAGCGGTGGGAATGAAGAAAATGTTGTTGTCATACAGTAGTTTCTAAATTTGTCACTTCGAATTTCCACAAAAGGAGTGGCTTAAAACAACAGAAACGTGGATTCTCACAGAAGTCCTAAATGCAGGTGTTGTCAAGGCTACGCTCCACTGGGAGGTGTTAGGGGAAGAATTGTTCCTCACTTTCCCCCACTTCTGGTTTCTTTTTGGCAGTCCTTGACTTCGGGAAGCATCTGGTCTTCACACAGCTGTTCTCCTCTAGGTGCAGCATGTCCCTTTGTTTTTTGTGGAAGGACACTTGTGACAGCCCCTGGGGCTTCCCTGTTTACTCCAAGGCAGTCTCTTCATATCAAGATGTGTAATTTAATTAGATCTACAAACTTTTTTCCCAAAAGGATATTTAAATTCCAGGGATTAGAACTTGGTATATTTGAGTGGCCTTACTCAGCCTACTGCACTAGATTAAAGGCCATTTTGGGTGGAGATACTTTGCTTACAAATATTTCTGAGTGTGCCTTTACATCACTTCCTTTGTCTTATGAGCTTGCTAGTACAGTGGAGAGTAGGAGTGGCCTGGGCCATAGTGGCTGCAGAAGCCAAATTTTCTGTGGACCCAGCAGTGAGCCTATGGGGCCACAGGGTGGAATTTAGCCTGTCTTTTCCCTGCACCAGGTAGGGGAGGGTCTCTTTGATGCTGCCTTGAGGGGGACACGATTCCTGTACTGCTAGGATCACAGAGGATTCCTGGGCTATATCGTTTCTGTGATGTTCTGTCATCAGGATCCACTATTTATGTTTTGCAGAGCTATCATGTGGGAAGTTTTAGAGGAAAGAATACTCCTAATCCCAAATATTTGTCCTGCTTGACCTTGTTTCTCTTTGGCCGCTGATGTTGAAAACAGTCACGTGAAGCCCGGAGCACCCTGCTGTTACTCCTGTTCCAACAGTTTCCAGGCAGAACTGTCTGCTCAAGCCTCTAAGGAGGCTCCCAGAGTGCCTAAAGGAAACAGAGAACGAGGTAGACTGAGGGCCAGAGGCCATGAGAAGAAAGTCTTAGCAAAAGCCAGTTTCCTTCTTTTATTTATTCTTATACCATTGCATTTCCTCGGGGGATACATCGACTTCTATGATTTAGTATCTTTTGCCTGAAATTCTCTACTCAACTCCCAACCCTTTGCTACTAGCAACTTACATCACCTCCAACTTCTAGAAAATTGCAGTCTTTGGTGAATGATCTCAATCTAAGCCAACCTGCTCCCTCGCCTTCTTTCCTCACACTTGTTCGGTCCCTCTTTTCTTTCCAGTCTTGGAAAATCCAAAGCTAAGTCTCCACAGCCTGCTGATTTAACCTTTCTTAGGTCCTCTGCATCTTCACGCTGTCCATCAGTCCCCTCCCCTTTTTTATTAGTAGCTCCACTGAAAGGTAATTCACATCCATAAAATTCACCCTGTTAGGTATACAATAATGTTTTTAGTATATTGATAATGTTTTACATTAACCACCACTATCTAACTCTAGGACATTTTCATCATAAGGAAAAAAAAAAACCTTAGGCTTTAAGAAGTTACTTTCCCTTCCCTGTGCCATCCTACCTATTTTCCCAGCTCTAGTAGCCACTTACTTACTTTCTGTCTCTATACTTTCTCTGAAAATTTGTATGAAAGGACTCATATAATAAGTGGCCTTGGATAAAACACCCAAAACAACTGAAAGAAGCAGAGATTTATTTGGACTGCGCTTCCAGTTCATGAATGGCTGTCTCCAAGGCAGAAACGGCATAGAGAAAGGGCATGGTAGAGGTCAGCTGCTCACCCTATGACAACCAGGAAGCAGAGAGCAAGAGTGGAGATGGGACAAGAATAAACTCTTCCGGGTCATGACCCCAGTGACTCACTTCCTCTGACTGGGTCCCAACTCCTATAAACACATACAGCCATGATCTTACTAGTTGATCACTGATGAGTATAGTGCCCCCATGTCTACTCACCTTCCAAAGACACCCCCACACCTGAACACATGAGACTGTGGGGGGACATTTTAATCTAAACCATAGTAGCTACTAAAAACACAAAGGCTTTTGTTTTGATAAGTTTTATTTATTTTGTTGTTGCTTATGCTTTTGATAGGATGTCTAAAAAATGCCTAATCCAAAATCTCAAAGATTTCCTTTGGTTTTCTTCAAGAGTTTTATAGCTTTTGCTCTTACACTTAGGTTTATAGTTCATTCTGAGTAAGTTCTTGCATATAGTACAAATCAGAGATACAAATTCAATTCTTCAC